TTTTGTTTACTCGCCAGACTGATATACTATTTTACACACACACACACACACACACATACACAGACACACACACGTTTACTTAGCTATCTAAATGGGGACATTACATAGACTTCTATTGTTTTTATATACAGATAGTTATACACTTTTTAACCTAAACCCACCCCTCACAGAGTTTACTTTATTTTAACAGTTTTACAAATGAGGACATCCACAAATTGAGGTTTTTGCCGATTTTGTCAGGCTTTGCTCACTTTTGGGTACAAATTTGTCCCCAAAATATGGTTAAGTATACACACACACACACACACATACACACACACATATGATTCCACCCAATCAATTAAATAACTGAATGTGCACTCTTAACTTCAACCAATCAAGCATTATATTATGATATTATGATAATTAAGCACTATTTAATGATAGAACTAGTGATTAGAACTAAAACTTGGTAACCATGAATGAATGCATATTTGTCATTTTAACTGAACTTAGGACTGGTGGTGGTGTTTAAGATATTGTTGGTCGTAGGTAATAGTAATTATTATTAAAAGATACTACTACTACTATTATTATCTGCTGGGTTCATGAATATTAATCATGCTGTCAGCGTTCGCTCGAACTGATTTGCTGAAATCAAAACAGGGACGGTAATAGATGAGCGCCAACCAACGAGAGCTGTTTGCGCATTAGCTCCGCCCACTGCCGAGAAACCGGCATATATTCTGCTTGTTCTTAAAAGCTGAGTAATTCTAAATTAACTCTGTTATTTTTACAGGAAAATACAACAAAGATATCGATATATCGATACTTCGGATCGATACGCCCATCCCTAGCGGGAGAACGGAAGATACGCTGTGCGAGATGCGGCTTATGCGCGCGCTTCAGGTGTGAGTCTGTCAGACAGCAAGACGAGATGGCAAAGAGTTGTTTTCTGCAACTTATTGGACTTAATAACTCTTTTTAATGTCAAGCAATTCTCTGCTATATGCGTCAAACTAAAACTTTTACCTTTTGCAACGTTTTGATTTAAGTAGCCTATTATTAAAATGATTCAGGTATCACACGCCGTTGCGATATACATATCACGATATTTACATTTGCGATGTTTCGATATTTTCGATATATCGTGCAGCCCTAATGGTTCGAAACAATTGTGTTTTGCAAGAACATGCAGCAATGATCACACTCATCACACTTGTCTCTATGCTGTTGCTATTCTAAGACTGGGCTTTTGTTGCCATGGTGAACTCTCAAATTGTTCGTGACGGCATCCAAGCTTTTTCCCCTCAGATATGCAAACCAGCATGTGCAGTGATAGAGGCTGTGGAGTTTCTTCTGTCTGAGAGAGGACTGTGCACCTCCGGCTTGTTTGTGAATTATATAGGGCAGGGCAGATATCACAGCACAACGCTTGGATCATGACCAAGTACTCAATAAGAGAGCAGACCCCTGCCTTCAAGAGTTGTTTTTCTTGCTGAAATTAGCTCTTTCATTTGCATTTTGTCTTAGCCATTGGTCCCTTCATTATAAATATAAGATGTCCCTGGCTTGAAACCTTTAAGTGATTAAAAACAGAAAATCTGCACATTGTTCCCTTTTTTTTTGGCTCAGTAACTAGATCAGTGGGGTCACACAATCCATTAGTTGCGGACCATCTAAATGCAAACATTTGTTGTTAATCCCAAAGAATTGGCTAAACTATTTAGGTGTACATTAATTGGGCCACACACTGGAAATATATTTTGGACCATCTTTAATCACCTACATTTAATTGAATTAGAAAGGGCTCTATGAATCTTTCTGATTAGGACTATAGTCAGATTTCCAAATGTACATCAGTCAGGGGTGCATTTCCCAAAAGCATTGTTAGCTAACTATGGACACAAGTTCAGTTGAATTATACTAGTAATAACAGAACTTGCGACCATAGTTGCTTTTGGGAAATGCACCCCTGGTTAGGAATTAGCCTAGTATTAGAAAAGATAAAATAATCCGCAGTTTCTTTAAGACAAATGATTGGAAGTGCTTTAGATACCAATCTGTATCACCATTATTATTATTATTATTATTATTATTATTATTATTATTTCCATTTTGTCTAGTTTTATAAATTAAAGAATGTGGCATTGAAGAAATGTTAAAGGCTATTTGACAGCATTTGTAGCATAATGTTGATTACCACAGGAAATAATTTTGACATTTAATTATTATGTCCTTCATTAATTTAAAAAGAAGCCGAAATCGCATGCAAAATATAGTAACTACACATCTGGCCAAACAGACACATAACTGAAATCGGAATTATATTGAATTATAATCTGTTCTGTGACATAAGGACTTGGCTCAACTAACAGTAAACAACACGTGCGCTGTATGTTACTCACCTGTGATATTGTACAGTAATAGTGGGTGTCCACCGGGTTATTTCCATCCTTTCCACTTTTCTCAATAATTCCAAGTCTTGAGTTTTGTTGTCGTTGTAGAGTGGGTATTGGAGTGTAAAAATAATTGAGACTAGGGATACTGCCATTTTTTGTCGGATCGGGTATCGGTCAGAGAGGGCCGATCCATATCCGAGATTGTGCGTATTATTTTGTGTTACTTCTGAAGCCATACGATAGCTTAAAGGGTTACTCCATCCCAAAATGAAAATGTTGTCATTAATCACTTTACCCCCATGTCGTTCCAAACCCTTAAAAGCTTAGTTTGTCTTCGGAACACAATTTAAAATATTTTTATATTGGTATCGACCAATACTGAACCCTAGGTATCGGAGGTGAAAAAGGCGGATCGGAGCATCCCTAGTTGAGACCGAACACTGTTAGCATCTGCAACATCGAGATAAAACTGTGGTCGTTCACAACGCCATTGAATAATTTCAAAAATTATTCGCCGAATAATTTTCCATGTCTATTCCGAACTTTGCAAGAGTTTGTATACTTGCTGTTTTGTCTGCAACTGACAACAAGCAGATGTCATACATCTGCTACAATGCACAGCTGTTTCAAAATTAAACTCAGAATCGATTCTGAACTTTGGTTTGACTGAACTTTGGTTAAAATGGCTTTTCACACTGCGCTTAACCCCCGGGTTATCGTCTTTCTCTGCTTTTAACCCCAGCTAAAGGAACGTTTCACACATGTAAATTAGAAACGGGCTTAGTACTGCTTTTTAACCGGGGTTATGAAACGCAGCTCTGGAGCAGGGTCAGCACCGCTTTTGTTTTGCTAACCCCGCATTGCAATGCCATCCTTGTACAGTGTGAAACTCAGAGGTGTTAGAATGTTACGACTAGATGCTTAAGCAACAGACAGCCAATTGCGTGGCTCATATTTACGTGCTTTGGACAGTTACGGAAACAGCACGCACTGTATTAACAGTCGTTTCAGCGTTTGAGGGAAAATGTCAAATAATGATGAAAGGTTTTATTCTTACCTTTATAGTCCAATGAAAATGCATTCAGGAAAAACTTGATACATATAGGCCTGATGCGAGGATGCACAGTGCTACAGCCATTACGTAAACAGGTCGCATGCTGTGTTCGTCCAATCATTGGCACTGACACCGCAAATATGCAAATAAGAACATTAACCTGGGGTTTAGGACTGAACAGTGTGAAACGTCAGTTTATGAATACCTAGGATTAATTGTTAACCCCGGCTAATTGTGAAATGTGAAACAAGAAACCCCAGAATTTACAATGACCCAGGTGTAATTATTTCAAGTGTGAAAAGTCCTAAAGAAAGAATACTAACACAGAAGAACCTTTCCGTTCTGCTCTGTACTGTGCATTAAGCAAAAATTTTCACTGAAATTACAAACATAAATATGTCATCTCTTATGTACTGTATATAAGTAGCTAGTAGAAGTAGAAGGTAAAAAAAACAAGCCAATGGATTTATGATTTCTAAATGCTTTTCCCTTTACGCTTAACCATGGTTTAATATTTTCAGTGATAAAGTTGGATTTATAACATACATCTGATTACTATACCCAGATAGCACACATACGTCTGTCACCCAAAAATGAAAATTAGCCCATAAATTACTCACCCTCAAGTCATCCTAGGTGTATATGACTTTCTTCTTTCAGACAAATCCAGTCGGAGTTATATAAAAAATTGTCTTTGATCTTTCAAGCTGTTTCATGGCACTCAGCGGGTGTTGCATGCATCAGTCCAAAAGCATTGAGGGCGGATGACCTCTGAGGTCAGCACTGCGCATGCACCAGTGAGTCTTGTGAAAACCAACGTTTGTTAACAGGAGCAAAGGAAGCAAATTTTCCTTACTTTAGCAAAGGAAAACCAGTCTCCTCTTGGCTTATATCGAAATCCTCCGACATTCTTCTTTACAAATCCTCGTTTTGTACTTCTAATTAGTGACCATTGTTTTGTTTTGATCTCTCCCCTGCGCTTCCGCGTACGTCACTTCTGAGCGGCGCATGCGCAAAGCCGACCTCCATACGTCATCCTCCCGGAGCTGCTTCCAGTGTACAACAGTGAGTGCAAGCTACATTAAAGTGATTATTATGTTTTGAATATGGATATTTTTCTTACAAAAATGCATCGATTCGCTACAGAAGACCTTAGTTCACCCCCCGGAGCTGTGTGAGACACTTTTTTTTATGGATGGGTGCATTTTAATTAAGTGCTTTTGGACTGAAGCAATGCAACACCCGCTGAGTGCCATTAAATAGCTTGAAAGATCAAAGACAATTTTTAATATAACTCCGACTGGATTCGTCTGAAAGAAGAAAGTCATATACACCTAAGATGACTTGAGGGTGAGTAATTTATGGGCTAATTTACATTTTTGGGTGAACTAACCCTTTAAGCTTTGAACAACTTGCACTGCACTAGAAGCACATTTGTAGTTGTGTAACATTGCTTCTCCGTCCTGAACTCTTCAGGTGATGCTGGAACAGATGCAAGGTCTGATGCACCTTGAACTCTCCGGCTGCAATGATTTCACAGAAGCCGGCCTGTGGTCCAGCCTGAATGCACGGCTTACCTCTCTCAGTGTCAGCGACTGCATCAACGTGGCAGATGACGCCATCGCCGCCATTTCTCAGCTTCTTCCCAACCTATCGGAGCTCAGCCTGCAGGCCTATCACGTGACCGACACGGCCATGGCCTACTTCACCGCCAAGCAAGGCTACACCACCCACACGCTGCGTCTGAACTCCTGCTGGGAGATCACCAACCATGGCGTAGTTAACATGGTGCACAGCCTGCCAAACCTCACCTCCCTCAGCCTGTCAGGCTGCTCGAAGATCACAGACGATGGCGTGGAATTGGTTGCCGAGAATCTGAGGAAGCTCCGGAGTCTGGATCTGTCCTGGTGCCCCCGCATCACTGACATGGCCCTGGAGTATATTGCCTGTGACCTACACAAGCTGGAGGAGCTGGTTCTGGACCGGTGAGTGTGCTGAGTTTACAGTACAGAGTGTAAAGTAAATCTTGCTGATATTTCCTCTTACAGAGCCTCATTGGGACTAAATGTTGAGATCAAATGTAATAATGTAATAAACCAATATATCAGTTCACTAGCTGATATTTGGGTTTTGAAAGTAATATATACAGGTATATATATATATATATATATATATATATATACAGTATATGCTGCAAATTACTGTTCAAACACGCTGATTCATTTAGGAACAAAACAGTCCTTTCAGGAATCAAACTATGTTGCTGCCTTTGCAACTAAACAGCAAAAATAGATAAAGTAGCTGCCAATATTGTCTAAAATGTAAGTTACTCAATATAAACGTCTTGTTTATTGAACTGTTGTATAACAACATTCGCAGTCATGCTGTATGGGTGTGGGTCATTTTAGAATGCTAGTTCCTATCACTATTTGCCATTGTTATTAGAATTTTTTTTACTCAAATAGAAGAATAAGCTTGACCAACACAAACTGATGTGTTTTTACAATTTTTTGCCTGTTCGATAAGAAAAGAGATAGTGAGCCGTTCTGACAAGTGTTTTCATTGTAACATTATGGTTAAAAGTGTTTATTGATATAAAATGGCCACTTACGGTTTTAAGGAACCACGCACGATAATATTTAAAATCCTTGTTCTATAACAATGTCCATTTAAAACAAAAATGGGAAAAAGAGTCAGACTTACAAATAACAGAGGAAGACAGGACAGATATATGTGTTATACATGCAAAAACTACAAACTCAAGATCTTGGAGAGAGTTTGGATGGAAAAATGTAATAAGGTTCTTCATTACTCCTAAACTGTCAGCACTACGTACAGGTACAGAAAGTCTGGGCTCTTGTTGGAGACAATGTGGAACCTCAATGGCTAATCGCTTTAGCATGTTTTGGGCCTGTCCAAAAAATACAAGCTTACTGGTACGAAATAGCAGCTGAAATTAAAAAGATAATTGGAGAAGAGTTTGACTATTCATTCATTACATTATACCTAGGGAAAATACCAAAAACTATCCCAGTCAATGATAGATACTTAACACAAATACTTTTAGCAAGTAGCAGGAAAGCCATAACTTGTAAGTGGTTGCGGGTTGATCCTCCAGCAAGGGCTCAATGGATAAGAATTGTAAATGAGATATACTGTATGGAGAGACTCACATTTAGTTTAAGACTTAATTTAGAAAAATTTAATAAGTATTGGGAAAAATGGATAGAGTATGCCATTGCAGATAATGAGTGATACTGTGCATCAAAAATGTATTGTGATTTGATGTTGTAACTCCTATGATAACCGCTCTGTTGCTTGTTTTCAATTAAAAAAAAGTTAAAAAAAAAAAAAAAAAATGTCTATTGAGTGCTATGATACAGTGATGCTATCTGATGGTTATAATACCATGATATTTTGATACATTATGGAAAGAATGATTATCACAATCATATTGTGTGCCTATAGATGGCAAAGTCCGGAAGTAAAATGACTGTTCTTTATATGTCTGTATTCAGGTGTGTGCGGATCACAGATACAGGCCTGGGCTACTTATCTACCATGTCAACCCTGAGAAGTCTCTACCTGCGCTGGTGCTGTCAGGTAAGTGTCTGTGCAACTGTCTCAGTCAGCTTAATGGGATAGTCTTATTATGATAATAAAGTTATGGCTAGTTGATATATAAGTTATCAGTTAATTATTTTATTAATCACAATTAGGTTACAATTTATATATTAGATAATTTATAGCATGTCACATCACCAAAACTGCTTGAAATTTCATGTCAGCTCCCCCGTGTGCTTTTAGGTGCAAGACTTTGGGTTACAGCATCTATATGGCATGAGGAGTCTTCGTCTTCTCTCTCTAGCTGGTAAAAACACTCTGAAAGTGCCGATACTGCAGGATGCACTGATAAAGTCCTGATAAAGAACTATAATGAAATAACACTGTATGTTTGGAAATAGATTGTTTCTATGAATACCTGAGCTTAATCATGTTATGGAAGAAAGCTCAGTTAATCCCTCAAAAATGACATTTGCAGATCAGAAATATCTGCCTGTTCTATCAGTAGCTGTGCATAAGGATGTTCTATTCCAATGTTTCCAGATTTTTCCCACATAGCTTCATTCAAAGGGCTCAAGTACCCCTTCATCCAGACCAAGCAATTCATTTTTGACTAATATTAAAGTCACTGTCATATAACATGATAAACTTCACTTTTAAACAACAAACTTTTAATTTCTGTGGTTGAAAACACTTCCTCTCAAACTGAAACATATCTGTTAGTTGAACTTCGTTTAGCTTGATACATAGCACACATGGCATCCACACAATTTCATGGGATTGATTTTGTTTTATTTCCTTAAGAAGTAAATAAATGCTTTAAGCTATTAGTTGAAAAAAATATTTCTATACATTTATCTTTATAATCTTTTGACAGCAATATATGTTACATAGTTTCATTTATCTAGGTTTAACAAAGCAAAACTGAAATCTTTCTGTTTGGGAATCATCATCTGTGATGTAAAAAGTGGTGTTGTTGTCACACAGCATTATAAACCGGAAGTGAGCAGTTGAGTGGAGGTGGCTGTTAGCTTTTGTATTTGACCAGCTCTCATTTCCTCTGTCTCAGGGTGCCCTCTGCTGACCACTACTGGCCTGTCAGGCCTGATCCAACTGCAGGACCTAGAGGAGCTGGAACTGACCAACTGCCCTGGTGCCACAGCCGAACTCTTCAAATACTACTCCCAGCATCTGCCGCGCTGCATGGTCATCGAGTAGAGCAAAGAGTTTCATGGGCACTAGCACCCACCGCATCACCAAAACCTCCTCCTACAGACTGATGATAAACCCCTCTTCATCCTGGACCCACAGGAAGAATCAACGAGAGAAACTGAATGGAAGTTTGTTTTTGTTTTTTTTCTGGAGGGGTGAATAGGTATCATTGACATGGAAGATAAAAAATCTGAAAGAGAACGTCGGAACGGGCCTGGACTGACGAGCGAGAGGGATCATGTACAAAGCGCAGTGGGTCAGAGGCTAGATCTTTCATTAAATAACATAAAACATAGGAATCAGCCCCCACACATACATGAAACATGTTCCTCCACTGAACTGTGAGACTAGCTTCCATGTCTCATCCAAAACTGTTTATCTTGAAGTGACAAAGGTGTGCGCTGCCTGTTTGAGCTGTCTCTCATATCCAGGGAAAGGTAGAGGGGAACCGAAATGTTTAAGGGAAAGAACGAGGTTAAGGAGCCACTGCAACAGGGTGTCTTCACTTTTGTCCAGCGGCATCCGGGTTTCTCGCTCCCCTCAGTGGTGCTGCTCCATCTCTGTGTCTTATCAAGGGAAAAAATCAAGAACTTCAGAGATGAACAGCTACGTAGATTTTCACATCAACGCTACTTGCTTTTTGTCATGCAGTTCTCTTTTTGTCTTTTCTTTTTTAAATATTATTTTTTTAAGTATTATTTTTGATGATAAGGATTACTGTGAAACATGGTATGAGTTCGAGGTTTAGGACTCTTTGAATAAGACAGAAATCCAGGTATGGTGAAGGTACAGTATTGAGGTACTGTCCTTTGAAAGGAACCAGCATAATCAGAAGTCAGGAGGTTATTTTTTCCCAGCAGATTGCTCTTTTAAAGACATTTTCAGATATTTTGAGTTGGGGAGAGCGGGGTGGATCGGAACTGCTCATACATTTTAATATAGTTCAGATGGACTGTGGTTTGTACAAAAGATAGCTTGGCTTTTTCATCTGCCTGTTTTATTTTAATTCCATTTTGATGTCAATTGACATTAGTGGCTTATGTGCAGGTTTCCATATTAATCCTGATTCAAATGAAGATGAGATCTCCGAGTGATCCCATAATGCAGCTGGGCCACGTGACAGCCTTTCAAAGACTGAAACTGCACGTCATTGCTTACTTGTCACCAGGCCAAACCATTACAGCAGTAGACAGCATGGCAGTTTCTTACAGTACGGGCGCAGTGTCTCTTTCAGCCCGAGTGCTTTTAAATACATCTGATGAATACGGTTTACAGTGATTTGCATCAAATGCAGAGGCAGGCCAGTGTAATAAAGTGATCACAAACATCCCACACAAGCTTATTACAGTAGTCTCTCTTCATCTAGCAGGTTTGCTTTCCCATTAAGCAAGACCCACATGTCTAGTTTTAGATTAGTAGCACCTCTTTTTATTTTCAGAGGTGCTCATTTCTTCACCCTCACAATTGTGCTCATCTGTGGTGCCTACCTCATTGTATAACTGGGTATGTAGAATACAGGTCCACAGGAGAATTCGTGGAAACCAGTCATTTGGTCTTTTCCAACCCACTCCATAGCCCATACCGAACCCCGCATTTGTTCACTCAGGAGATTAATGTGCTGCTCAGATCATCTCAGAAGGGCCTGCTGTGATGTTGATGACCTTAATGTTCACCTACTCTCAAACTCAACACATGCAAAGTGGCAGAATAAATGGCATGGTGCACAATTTTGGAGTCTTAGATTGGCGAATAATTTATTTAAAAGCAACCTCTAAGTTCTAACTAGTGAAATGTGTTTACCTCTGAATATTATAATCATCTGTGGACAGATATGGTAGCAGTGCATGGAATTTACCACTTTTTTTTCTTCAGGAAATTGTACAGAAATGTACTAGTGAAATTTGAAATTTCAGGCATGCTGTCCCACTCAAACCACTGGTTTAGCTGGTTAGCACCCCTGCTGGTACATGCCTGAACTACATCATCTGGATGCAAAAAGCATATTTCTCAATTGTTGGCCATTCAAAATTAGCAACATATTTTGACTTAATAACTATCTTTTAAAAACAACGGTTCCTAGAGCGATTGCATAAAAGAACCATATTCAGTTTTCCAAAGAATGTTGCAATGAATAGTTCTAACCATTTTGCCAATAAGGAACTTTTAATTTGTGTACAGTTGAGATGAATGAGAATTCTAATTGATTGCTCGCTTTCTCCAATTATTATAAACATCTTTGATTCAAACATGAAGCTAATCTTACTCCAAAAAAGTGTAGAACGAAACAGATGGAAACTATGTCGTGAAAATCCCAACATCACTGTCTTTAAAGTGGACACTACCCTATCCCACCCTAAATTCTCTAGGCTTTAACGATAACCGATTATATCTACTAAAAGACACATTAGCATAAACATTAGCACTCACCTCAGAAAGGCGATCTCTCTTCTTGTATATAGTGACCTGTTTAATGGGGGGTCACAGCTAATCAGGGTTACCAGCTGCTGCTTATCCAGCCGAGATCCCCTGAGACTTTTAATCTCACTACCTTGTGTGACTTTATCTTTTGAATCATTGAAGTTGTTACGTATTTATTTGCTTTTACTTATCATTGGTAGTGGGTTAATTTATTGACAATGCACATATTTATTTATTTATTTATTACATTTACGAGGGTTGTACGAGGTTTATTTAGAAGTAGAACGTGTTTTTTGATGGGGTACCTGAGGAGACAAGAACTACTATGGAAATTGGAGTTGAGTTTTTTTTCAGATGAATTGACCCTTTTTTAAAACCATGGTTTCGCCGTTTAGAATAACTGCAGTCTCTGAGGCACGTGGTTTTTTTTTTGGCAGGCAGACTGTTGACACTCAGCTGACAGAAGGGCAGTAACTTGTTGACGGAGGCCTTGACAGTGAGTTGACTTAGCCTCCTGCTGCCCATTTTCTCGAGTTTGATGACTAATCTAGTTCACTTCTTTTGTTTTCGGTTGTAAAATGGATGTAAGTTGTTGAGAGACGCTGTCATAAAGTCTAGTAATAGTGAATCGGCATTGTGTCCAGGATTGGATGTGAAATATTCTGCACCAGTTCATATGCCTAAACTCAAATTGTAGCTATGTTTGGTTCCTTTGAGGTATCCTGATACCTGTTAGGAGACATATTGCAGTATTTACACAAACTTGATCGTCTTTTAAAGAATGCAACAGGTTTTATTCAATTGCAAAGATCTGAAGGAATTCCCATCAAAGCGCTTTTAATTTCCTGTGTCTCCATAATAGAAACAGAACAATTTGAGATGAATGAAATAAAGAGAGATTATTAATATATCGCTAAGGCATTGCATAGTATTTGAGGACAGCTGTATGAAACTGTCAGAGATATTGTATTAATCTTGTATAAATACTATCGTTTTCACTTCCAAACCGAGCCTTTTCCCTCTTTGTATAGAATGAGAGTTTATGAGTGTGGGAATTTTTTCACCTAAAAGAACCCTAAATATAAATATAATAACTCATGCACTAACCCCACTGTAATCTGTAAATATATATCAATATGTCAAGGTCATCTGTCAGAAGGTTTAGCTGTTTTTGAGGCTGCCTGGCTCTAAGCGTGCACGTCCATAACGCTTTAAGCGAAACGAGTCAGCAGAGAAACCTGGTCAAGAAAAGAGGCAAGATATGCAAAAAGGTTCATGTCTTTTAGCGATGAATAACATCAGCAATCGATAGTATAAAAGACTTAAGCTTGTTTCACGTTGTACATTGAGCTAATATCAAAGACATGTTAATACGGGCTAAATGCAAGAATGAAATACTGGTACTACTGTGTGAATTTCGCTTTCTTATCAGACAAATCTGGATGGCAGATATGGAGTGGTTTTGTCTGATTTACACTGTAAAATTAAACCATTTTCAAGGCCAGTTTCCATAAATAGTGCTCCTCTATTCTTGCTCTCTGAAGGAGTTTTACTAGCTTACCACAGTGTGTTGGCAGTTTCTGTTCACCCTCCAGCTTGCTTTTAACTCTAATGTCTGGTGCTTTTAATTGTTAAGCGAATAGAATGAATCCTCTGTTCCTCTAACTCTTCCCAACTAACATATGTCAGGATTGTTTCTTTTACAAAATTTGAGAATGACATGATTCAACAACAGAAAACAGCTCTTTTGTTGGTTCTTTGTATGTACTTGTACATGTAATACTAAACCAATATTAGTAATGCTTTTGACATTCATACAGGGTCCGTAACAACGACTTTTATTCTGGTGCAAACACCTTGTTTGGGCGAATGTGGTTCAACAGCCTAATGAGCAATGTTAGATATCTGCCTCACTGATTATCTAAAATGTTTCTCTAATTTCTTTGGTATTTTATTTCTCTGGTGTGACATGGGCATGTCACAGTTCTCAGTTCTTTAGGGTACATCTCTTTCTGTAAATACTGTTGTAGTGGTTCATTTAAAATGAAAGAGAAAAAAAGACAAAGTTTTATGAACTCAATCTCATGGCTGCAGTGCCTTGTCAGACAAGAGTTGTTGTTTTCAGTTGGTTGGTTCCAGTCTGCACCGTTTTAGTAAAAGTTGTACAAAATAAGTACCATATTTGCGTCATTAATTTTCTCTGACATTCAATTGTTAAAGGCGCAGTTCACCCCAAAATGTATTTAATGATCAAACTGTATGACTTGCTTCTGTGGAACAACATATAAGGGTGATAAGGTGAATAAATGACTGATTTTCAATTTTTGGGTGAACTATTCCTTTAAAACATGTTGTCAGCTGTTACTGTGTGTTTGAATGTTGCTTCTTGAATGTGCATCCACACACAAACACATCTACCTTGCCTGTTCTGAGACACACCGTTTGTATTAAGTATTTTGACTGCAGGGATCAATTTTTTTTTAATGAATAAGGCTCTAAAATTCTCTGACATTCAATTGTTAAAGGCGCAGTTCACCCCAAAATGTATTTAATGATCAAACTGTATGACTTGCTTCTGTGGAACAACATATAAGGGTGATAAGGTGAATAAATTACTGATTTTCAATTTTTGGGTGAACTATTCCTTTAAAACATGTTGTCAGCTGTTACTGTGTGTTTGAATGTTGCTTCTTGAATGTGCATCCACACACAAACACATCTACCTTGCCTGTTCTGAGACACACCGTTTGTATTAAGTATTTTGACTGCAGGGATCAATTTTTTTTAATGAATAAGGCTCTAAAAAGGAAGAAAAGCTTAGTTGTGCTTTGCAGGTCAACAAAAACCTATCCCGCGGAGCTTGATAAAAGATGTTTCAATCAGGCAGTTGGGGCTCTGCTTTATAAGCATGTGTTATATAAGAGTTTTAAGTAAGCTATTTTGGCAAATTTAGCCTGATGTTAACACTCCTGAAGCAAGTCACAAAGAAAACGTCTTCACCTGGCACCCTTTCACAAATAATAAAAACACAAATAAGCGAGGACATCAGAAGAAGAAAATGGATCAAAGGTGAAGCGACTGTTGAGGTCTGATTATGGTTTTAAATGAAGAAAGACACCTGTCTAACTGTCAGTCCTCAGTTAGGAGTTTAGTCACGTTCTAAAATAATGAGAGATTCCATTTTTTAAGGCATTGTACATACAACTATCACATAAACATATTCTGAACATACACTATTGTTCAGAAGTTTGGAGTCGGTAATTTAGTTTTTTGTAAGAAATACATTTTATTCAGCAAGGATTCATTAAATTGACCCAATGTGACAGTAAAGACAAGATATAATGACTTACGTTTATAATGTTACAAAAGATTTATTTTTCTTGACCGTAACTTTGACACAGTAACTTTCTGTTCATTAAAGAATAATAAAAAACACTTCCAGACTTCATTAAGCAGCACAACCATTTCCAACTAATAATAAAACTTTAATAATAATAAGTTCCAAATCAGCATATCGGAATGATTTCTGAAGGATAATATGACACTTAAGACTGGTGTTATGGCTTCTAAAAATTCAGCATTGCCATTTCAGAAAAAAAGTTTAAATATATTAAAACAAAACAGATATTTCAATTAGTTTTTGACTGCTTTTGAAAAACTAAATGCAGGGCGGTCCTTGGCTGACACGGGGCCCGGTGCGAGGTAGGGAGCGGGGCCCCCCTCGGTCCGTTCGCAATCGCGTTCCAGGTGTGGGTCCCCCTCGGTCCATTCACCATGGGGCCCCCTCAAGAGCGGGGCCCGGTGCGACCGCACCAGTTGCACCCCCCTAAGGATGGCCCTGAATGAATGCATCCTTGGTGAGCCTAAGACACTTCTTATCAAAATAAAAATCTTACTGACCCCAAAATTTTGAACGGTAGCATATAATATTACGTCAGTCTCCAGTGAAACTAATATCATTGATCAGTGGCTCCACATAAATATTGAACGGTGGCAATTTTTTAATCATAAATCAATGGTGTTTACATGTATAGTAATATTAGTAACAAGGAAATCATGATGATGCCGCTAATACATGTTGAGTAAAAAATGTGATGCTGTGATAGAAAATAAGAACACATTATGGTTATGTACAATAGCTTTGATAAGCTACAGGGCAAGATGGACTCTTGACGTCCAGTGGAGAGAAGTAAACAGCACAATGTGTACCTTTAAACAGCAAGTTGACTAGGTTAGTGAAAGAAAAACATCCCTACATATAACTGTAAACTTGACCTGTTACTGTTCAGTAAGACATCAGTAAGAATCGACTTTCTCTTGTTCCTTTATCCATCTCCGCATTAGAAATGATCAATAGTATTAAATTTCATTCCAGACCTTTAAGATCAGAGGTTATATTTGAAATATCTCCCGTTATATCAACATATTTGCTATCATCACAGCAGCCATTTATGGATAGCAGTAAGAAACTCTTTAAGAAAATACCTTGAGCTTCAAAGCAGCTATGGTAACAAAAATATTTGTCTAAAGTTTTTTTTTTAATCTCTTCTTTTACAAAAGTACAGGGAAAGATCATATTTTGCTGTAAAAAAAAATCTAAAATAATTACTTATGAAAATAAAAGATCAAAAGGAGCACGTCACATTGCTGGTTCAGTGTAAATAGGGATTATGGGATTTTCTCATCCAGTGAGGTGTCAGGCGTGCAGGAACACACACACACATTTTCCAACATGCCAAACCTCTGTGCCATTCATTTGGCAGAAAACAGATCAAAGATATCAAGAAAGAGAAAAATAGAGGGAAACTTTCTCTTAGCCAAAACCTGGTTCAATTCTACCCATAATCCATCCCAGATCCCTACCCACAATATAGATTAATTTAAAAAATAGACTCATATATGACGTTTACATGCCTAAGCGGAAATGTCTTTAGTCAAACGGGTCGATTTTCCATCGGTGGCAATCTAGAAGTGAAATGTTCATCTCTCCCATTCTGACGGGGTGAAGGATGGGCACACACTCCTTCCCTTTCAAAGGTGACTCTCTGCATCGCTCTTCTCTAGGGTACCGTTCTCCAGGGTCAAAGGTGAGAGCGCCAGTCCATTGGCATTGCTCTCGTTAAGTCTTTTCACCCTGTAGGTCTCATAGTGAATGTTGTGAGTGACGTCCTTCAAATCTTGCAGGTGGGACCTTGAAAGTAGAGCGCAGTAGAGCATAGTATTAATTTTGATCCCACAATAACATACCCTAAGGGAAATATGCACAGTGTAAAATAAAAGTCATTCTCTTATACAGAACTGAATTGTTTTCAGACTACATCAGCTTTTTATGATCCCTTTGTGTGGGGTTGATTCGGTTGGTGTTTCCTGGTGTAATTTCATCTCCGCTTCAGCGGGAGGCCGATCAAAAAGTGTGAAAGGCGATTCAAAAACGTGGAGCATTATAACGGTCATCATTTGTTTCCCATTTCAGCAGGGAATCACTCTCATACCATCTGTCAACGGGCCGCCATCCAAGAGTTACTGTGAGAGGGCTTTGTGACCTGGCCTCACCCGATCAGACTCCGTAATTAACCTGCCCTTTACTGAGCTCACAGGAAAGGATGTACTCTTGCCTTTCTCAGCTGCCCCTTCCCTGAGCTGTTCAGCCCCACTACTCATATATCCACTTTACAAAGCTGATAACCATTTCAGCTGGTTTAAGCTAAAAAGCAAAGCTTTGTGACCAGAACAGTTAGTTTTAACTGCATGAAACTCTGACATCTGCTGACAAATCCATTGTTTACATTTTTTTTTTAATATGTTATTCTTTGATAACTTGGACCAACCATAAAAGGGATCAAATAAAAATTCTGTAAAAGTAAACTAAAAAAGAAAAGAAAAAAAGAAAAGAAAAGAAGAAAGATTTTTTTGAAGATTTTTGTTTGTTCCAGGTAGGATTGGTTCTGAATTATGATATGAAATCATTACATATGACCTGGACCCCAAAACCAGTCATAAGGGTCAATTTTGTTATGATAGGACAATATTTGGCCGAGATATTTGAAAATCTGAAATCTGAGAGTGCAAAAAAATCTAAATATTGAGAAAATCGCCTTTAAAGTTGACCAAATTAAGTCCTTAGCAATGCATAATACTAATAAAAAATTAAGTTTTGATATATTTATGGTTGTAAATGTACAAAATATATTCATGGAACATGATCTTTACTTAATATCCTAATGATTTTTGGCATAAAAGAAAAATCGATAATTTTGACCCATTCAGTGTATTGTTGGCTATTGCTACAAATATACCCGTGCTACTTATGACTGGTTTTCTGGTCCAGGGTCAGATATGATTATGATATAAATTCAATTAGCATTCCTTTGGTATTTGTTTGGTTATGGGATGAGATGAGAATGTCTAAAAGCATTAGTTGAGCCAGAAATGGACATGTTGGGCAATAGCACCAGTTTTGTACTCTTGAGGAAGTCAGCCTTCTTTACCTATAGTTGTCCACCTAAAGTTGAATTTTTGATTCTAAACTATTATGGGATGCCATTGATTTTGCCATTTGGACCATATTTTAAAAACAGAAAGTTCAAGAGGAGCATGTTCTTCTGCATCATCTAAACCTGACAACCAGAATGAAAGGGTTATTAATGGCTGCTCCCATTTTACCTAAACAGCAAGGTCATATGCCATATGCTAATGTCATTCTGTTATGATATTTGAAGACTTGCAAGTAAAAAAATATGACTTACCTGATAAGAAGATCTCTCAAGTGTGCAAACTCGCAATGCGCAACATTTTCAACTGAAATAAACAAAATACAAAGGCATGTTCATTAATTCATCCAGGGCTTCACTGTACTTTCTACACACACCACTTGATGGCAGTGTTGACTAACCTAAATCACAAACAATCTTGCTTTGTGAAGCCTGTCAGCCATCATTACACAATTAGATTTGACGATTGTTACAGTTACCCTGCTGAACAAATCAGCATGGGTTCCATGGAGGTCAACTAACAATCTTTCGGCCAAACCTAGTTAAGAAGTCTGGCGGAGACACCAGCATCCAAAACACAATAAATTACTGGTGACCAGCAAATCACAGCAGACTATGTCTTTAGACTCTCACCTTCGATGATCCCCCACTTTGTTTTTCTTCCCAAGACTTTGTTCCCATTCACCTGGTGCTCCTTATCTGTTCCCACCACAGCAAAGGGGATGTTTTCCTAAAAGAAACATTCACCATACCTCAAAATTTAATTAACTACAAAGTATAAATCCACTTAAAGCAACTAAAGGAACTGTTCACCCAAAAATTAAAATGTGCTGATAATGTACTCA